GGAATCCTGTTGTGAAAAAGCCTCGTAGATGTCAGGGTTGTGGAGGACCCATCTAGGTCAGAGTCAGAGAACACAAGCCCCAAAAGGAAGATCTGTGCTTTCTGTGGGGCAGGTGTTCAATGGCCAGGAAGAGGGCAAAGGGCTTGAGCTTTCGAGAAGGAGAAGACACAGTATATTTGATTGGGAGCTGTGGAAACTTCTTTCCCATAGAGGCTATCCCTTGAGCATAGTTGTTCCCTGAAAATCTCCCCTATCCCATTGTCACTGGGTCCAGATTTGAGCACTAAATGACCACGACCAAGACAGCTTTTCCTCATCACATCAGCCTAGTGAGCTTCTGAGCAACATAAGGGAGTGATAGCCCTGATTCCAGGTGTCTCTGTGGGAGTTTGGGGTCAAAAGTCTTTCTGCCCATTCTGGGCTCCAAGATAGGCTTCACAGCCAACCATCTTGCTCCAGAGCTTCCTTTTTGCCCTCCCTCCTGTTTCTTGTGAGTCAACCAGGCCCTTTAAGAGTAGAAATAAGTAGGTAAAGTGGTTTTTGCCCCATGGTGGTTCCTGAGCTGTGTGTCTGAATGACGTTTCTCTGTTCAGGGCCATGCCCCAGAGTGCTTTTTGCTTGGCAAATGGATTTCACCCTGGTGCTTGCGCTGTCCTGTGAAATGGGTTCTTCTGCTCTGGCACACCATGAAGGGCTGAGGCAAGGTCTTCCTCTGACCAGGTTCATGGGCTGCACTTGAGCCTGGCTGGGACAGAGGTTCCCACCCTAACTCACTGTCTTCTCTCAATGTGCTTCTGCCCAGTTGGGATCAACACCTTTGACTACCTGGGCAGCATCCTGAGCTACGTGGTCATTGCTATTCCCATCTTTTCTGGGGTCTATGGTGACCTGAGTCCGACAGAGCTCAGCGCCCTCGTCAGCAAGGTGAGCTAAGGGTGATCTCCCAGACCACATTGTGGAGGGTGGGCGGTCACTGAAGATGGAGGTTTTGTGTTGGGCTGGTGGCATTGGGGCTGGATAACCTGCAGCAATTGACCTTCAAGTTAGACTGTCCCTAGCTGTGGGGCTTGGAGCCAGCTGGTGTATGATTAACCTGGGGGTGAGAGCTGTCAAGGACACATCTATGTCAGTGTTTCCTAGCTCAGACCTCTGTATCTAAAACAAAAAGGGAGGTCAGAAAGCTTTTGGCTTTAGCAGTGTGGGTGAAGATTGGGTCCACGCAATGCCGCAAGTCCAGGTTATGCCCTGGACTGCTGCCTGTGGTGACCCTGGCCACCTGTGAGGCTGAGCTGGCTTGCTTTCACCTTCCTCACTTGACCTGTTCCCAGATACACAAAACTGGCTTGTGAATAGAGAATGCAGAGCTAAAAATAACTAAATGGGCACTGCAGGCTGAGACGCCCTGATCTGAGCCATGTATGGTGCTGGGGCAGGGCTGGTGCCACGGATCTGCACGACTTAGAGTAAGTGTGTTGGGCCTTGGGCTGGCTGGCAGGCACTCTGCAAACACCATCCCTGGGTGGTAGGAGATGTGTCCTGGCAAAAAATGCGGTCCAGAGCAGGAAAGCCCATCCAAATATGGTCATCATCTCCTTCACTTCTGCTGCCCTGGGTGACTTCTCCTTCAGTCTTGCTGGGACTGCTGACGTGGCCAAATGTCTGGACTCGTTGCTTCTTGGAGCCGTGAGGAAGGGACAGTGCCCCAGCGCTGATCCTTGCTCTGACATGATTTCTCCCCAGAATGCCTTTGTTTCCATCTACCTCATCGGCTGCTTCAGCCAGCTCATAGATCTCTCCAGCACCGTGACCGATGTAGCTGGCTACACGCACAGGTGAGCTTCTCCACAGGAAAGGGAAGTGCAGGACAAGATTCTGCCCAGGTCTGTGCTAAATAAATAAGAAACAATTGCTTGCGAGCAAGACAGCCAAGCACAGACAAGTTTGGCTATTGTGAGGAGGCTGCTGGCATTGTCCCTGGCATTCATGCGACCTCTTGTTTATCTAGGATTGGTGAACTGCAGGAGACCTTGCTGAGCCTTGGCAGGAAAAAAAATGATAACTACTCAGAAGCCAAAGCCAGCTGGGATTTGGACGGGTGAGTCTCCTCTCAGCAACTGGCTGGCTTGCAGCTTATGTCCCAGAGTGTGGGGCTGTCACGGGATGGAGGTGGCCCTTGGTGTCACAGCCTGTTGCATGCAGTTGACTGGAGCAGGCAGTGCTCACAGTGATTTGTCATTCCTGGGGCACATGGGGCAGGGCTGCTGTCACAGTCTCAGTGTGAACGCTTACCCCAGATCTCTCCTCTTTTGTCTTTGTGGTGGCCCAGCAGCCATTCTAGAGAGGACCCAGTGCCAAAGGACACAGCTTTCCTTCTGGAGCGAGTGACACTCTCGGTGCCATCCTCTGGCAAGCTACTCATCAAAGACTTGAACCTCAGGATCTCACAAGGAAACAGTGTGATGATTGTGGGGAACACTGGCACAGGGAAGACATCTCTCCTGAGGGTCCTTGGGGGGCTCTGGGAGAGCACGCGGGGTAAGGACTGCTGCTTGCCGCAGCCTTCTCTTTCTTAATCACGGCTACCCTGAGTTTGGAAGTCAGGAGTGGTGTGGAGTTGTGAGACCAGTGCCACCTTGTGTTGGTGAGCCTGTCACTGATGCATTGGAGCCACCCATCTCTGTCACATACTCTGTTCTGGCTCTCATTGCTTCGCTCTGTGTGACAAATATACCTTTTCTGGGATTTGTTGGCTACTTCATGGGGCAGGACTGCCCAGGGGGCGGTGGGGAGTTGCTGGCTGGCGCTGCAGGCTTGGCATGAGCGTGTCTCTGTGCAGGGAGCATCAAGATGCTGACCTGCTTTGGCCCCCGGGGAGTGGTGTTCCTGCCGCAGAGGCCCTTCTTCACCGATGGAAGCCTGCGTGAGCAGGTGAGCCCAGGGGCTGCCTCTGCTCTGGCCACAGCTCTGCTCCCGGCTGTGGTCATGCCCTGCCAACCTGTGTGCTGCAGAAAGGCCTGCAAGAGGGAGGATGTCTGTGGCTGCTCCTTCCCTCATGCCTGAATTCATGCCACCACTGTTGCACCTCTGACAGACTGTGCCCAGCTCCCTCTGACATGGCTTCTTTTGGTCTGTTAAACAGGTGATCTATCCCCTGAAGGAGATCTATCCAGTTTCAGGTATGTGGAAATTCATTAGAGCAATTAGCCAACCCTGTGGTGTCAGCTCTGTGTCCCCCTACCCCAGTGCAGTTTCTCCCCTACTTGCCCCATCAGGAGACATCGTCCATTTCACTTTTGTTTTTCTCTGCTTTTCCCTGGAAGATTTACCTCAGTGTAAGTTGAGGTCAGCTCTGTGTCCCAGGGCCTTGCATGCAGTCGAGATTGGGCTACATGGATCCTTTCTCTCCCCTGCCCTCTTCCTAAGCCAGATCACACGTGGTCCCCTGCAGCTTGCAGATGTCCAGGTTTAAGTTTCTGTCTGAGTGAAGCAGTGTTAGGTGCTGCTTTCAAACACTTGGGAGTCACAGCCTTGCAGAGAGTAACTGCAGCCATCCATCAGCTACTGTTGTGGCTCTTCAGCAGCTTCAGAGAGGTCCACGGCAGATGCACAGCTGCTGACTGTACCAGCTCAAGTGTATCTTCTGCTCCACAGCTGGTTCACCCAGATGTTTTCCCCATCCCACATAAAATCATTTTGCTGCCCGTTACCTGAGTCCTGCTCCCATGACTCCACCACCTGCAGTGGACAGGCAGCCATGAGAGAGCAGTTGGTGGGCAAGGGCCTTGGCAAGAGAAGCCTCAATCCTTGTGTTCTGGCTGTGTCTGGCTGTGACCATGAACTGAGCCAAGTCCCAGGTGTATCTGCAGAGCCCAGCTGCCTCCTGGCACACTGCTCACAAGCATGGTTAACATTTTTAAGGAAAGTCAGTCTTTGGGAGCTCTCTATGCCAAAGCTCAGGGCTTGATGTAGTTAAATGGTCAAGTCATCTACACCGACCCCCAGGAGATCCTCCAAACCTTCCCTCCTGCCCCACCGACTCCTCCTTGCACACACATTGCCTCTGCTTATGTTCTATTGCTTTCTCCCCTAGGGTCTGTGGATGACGAGAGAATTGTGCGATTCCTGGAGCTGGCTGGGCTGGTGAGTCCCCCGTGGTACTGATGCCTTCTTTCCTGGTACTGCCAGCAAGGGAAGAAGGGATGAGGTTGTGTGGCAGCACAGTGTGACCATGTGCTGGACACATGCAGGGACATTGTCTGCAGCTGGGACAGGCAGAGGAGGAGGGATCCAGAGCAGCTACAGCTCAATCGGGAAAAGAGAGTAGCAGGAAGCGGGTGGTTCTGCTCAGGGCTGGGGGCTGCGTTCACAAGTCTGCTGTGCTCTCTGCAGACTGATTTGCTGGAGAGGGCTGGAGGACTGGACGAGCAGGTGGACTGGAACTGGTAAGGGAGCTCACCATCTGCAGCAAACACTTCTAAGCACACACACATTGCCGCTGGACTGATGAACACTGTGTCCTGTGGGAGGTGGGCAGCGTACAGGGACACAGCCTTCATGCCCCAAGCATCAATGCCAACAAGCACCAGCCATGCTGCTCTGCAGGCAGCTGTCTGTGCCCAGGTGTGCAAAGCCAGTCCCAGCGTGGAGGGGGGTACGGGGGACACATAGGGACAGTTGCTGGGGTCTCTGATATCAGCAACCATAAGCTCTTCAGCAAACAAGCTCTTTTTGTTGAGGGTGATTTTTAATCTCGACCCCACTGCAGGTATGACATCCTGTCCCCAGGGGAGATGCAGAGGCTCTCGTTTGCACGGCTCTTCTACCTCCAGCCAAAATATGCAGGTGAGTGACTGTGAAAGAAAAAAGGGGAGAAAAAAAGAAAGAATAGGCAGGGCCTTTGGTGTAAAAAGAAGCTGGTACAGAGACAGATCATGAAATCTCTTCTTTGCTAGGAATATGCTTCATCTTGGCTGTTATTTTAGCAGCATAGCATGCAGAGGAATTCAGTGTGAAAGTATTCCATTATCTGTGTGGAGGGTGGTAAATCAAGAGGCTGCATATAATACATTCTTTTCTTAGGGAACTAGTGATTAATGGTCTTGGTCCATGTCCGATGGCACCTGAAGAAGCCCCCTCTCAGCATGCTCACCAGTCATCACGTAAAGAAGCATGCATGCTAGGGAGCCTAGGGTCAGCTGCTGTATCTGAAGCTTGTGAACCTCTGTAGGGTTGTGGAAGCAATGTGGGAAATTCAGCTGTAATGCAGCAAGAGAAAACAAGGAGAAACATTCCTGAAAGGTCACAGAAGCAGCTTCCATTAGCATATGGGGCTAATTGCTTTGCCTTAGATCGCTAGTGACTGCTGGGGGAGCTGTTGGAGGACTTGTCATGAGGGCCAGGGTGGGTGTTCCTGAACAGAGCCAGTGTCAGTAGCATGTAGCCACGGGTAAATATCTCTCTTTCCCTGAAGCTTGTGGCACAGCTCGGTGCTGTCTGGGCAGAAGGAACCTGTGGATTGCAAACTAAAAGCTGTAACGATGGTGTAAATGAAATTGAATTTATCTGCTGCAGATCCGTAGTATTTACCCTTGGCTGACAGGAAGGTGCCTCAGGCTGCCCTGGGTGCTCCAGGTGGGGTCTGGGCTGGAGGGGTGCACAGGCAGCTGTGCAGCCCAGCACCCTGGCACACAGCCTGCCTTGAGAGGGTCATGTCTTGGCTTTCACAACAGAGGGGATGAGGCAGTGGCTGGCGGCTGTTGAGGCAGAGGAATGAGGTGAATGCTGCTGTTTGGGTGGATTTGAGGGCTTGTGGGAAAGGGCAGCTTTTCCAATTGACTGACACCAGCTGTTCCAGAGGAAAATGAGAGTCCTTAGGCTTCTCCTCACTTGCCTTCTGCAGATACTTTTGATAAAATCTGGTTAATATGTGAAATGTTCTGGGCAGTTGCTGCTCCTTTGTCTGGGGGGAGATGACTAGTTGGGAGAGGATTTGTGGGACTTAAAACTTTTCTCTCAGTGCTAGATGAAGCCACAAGTGCCTTGACAGAAGAGGTGGAGCATGAAATGTACCGGGTGTGCCTTCAGCTGGGCATGACACTGATCAGCGTGGGACACAGAGCCAGCCTGGAAAAGGTAAGATGGGAGACAGCGCTCCACACATCCCTGGTGGTGGCAAGACAGGAGATGTAGAGAGGGTCCCTGGCGAGCAGAAGGGAGTGAGTGAGGCTGGAGAGCCTCACTGTGGGAGGACATGCCCTTGTAGAGATATCCCTCAGTCGTTGTGTTATTAAATTGCAGTTCCACAACTGGATTTTGAAACTTCATGGGGAGGGAAGATGGGAGCTCACTCGCTGTGACAAGATAAAGCCAGGGAAGGATGGTGAGAAACATGCCCTTGTCTGGCCAGCCACAGAACCTGCGCACTCGTGGGAGAGCTCTGAATAGCAGACATGGAGCTGCCAAGCCAGCAGCTGACAACAAGGGATTCATCCAGTGCAAGAGCAGTTCTGGATTTTGCTGATGGACACAGAGCCAAGTCTGTGGGGTTCTGCTGGGAGCAGACACATCTATGCCATCCTTCTCCCAGCCCCCTTCTCCTGCTTCCCTGCCTCTCATGGGGGAAAGGGCTGAGCTGCCAGAATGCCCGAAGAGCAGATGCTGCCTCATGGGGCTTGTAGAAGCAATGGCCAGAGGAACCTCCACTTGTCCAGGATGCAGTGGTGTGAGGCTCGGATACAGCCTCCTGTTCTGCCCTCTGTGCCTCACTGAGACCTCTGTCTCTTTGATACACGGCTCTGCAGAACAGTCTTCTGTACCTGTGGCTCTGTTGAGGGTTGTGCTCTCTAGCAGGAGCCAAAGGATGCACTGTAAGGGGAGGAAAACACTGACACAGAGGAGGGGCACGTCTCTGCTCTCCTTATGACACAGGTTTACAGGTCAAAGGAACATGGAATTGTCTAGCTTGGAAGGGACCTTTCAGATCAACATTTTTGTATTAAAATCTGCATCCTGTTTTCCAACGATGTTTATGGAGAAGAGTCAGTATTTGTTAACCAGGCTGCTGCATCTGTTCCTTCTGGGGTTTGCTTTGGAGGAGATGCCTGTATATTGGCAGTGGTCCCAGACTAGACTATTGCTGAAGAGCAGAGCAGGGGTAGGAGTAACGTACCTATCCAGGGCTGGGCATCCTGCTCTGCTGCTACCTCCACAGCTACTGCAAAGCACAAGGAAGCCCAAAGAGGGCTTGCGGCCCTCTGTTTTTAGGGCCTCCCCTTCCTGTCCTGCCTATGTGAGTCATGTTCTCTCCCTTGCCTCCCACAGGTGTGTGGAAACAGGATTTGAGGGTCTGTGTTGCAGAGGAGTCACTCTAAGACTGCAGTGCAGTGGTCTCTGAGCACTTACTGGCCACCAGTTGCTTAGTGACGTTTCTGGACGTGACCCCAGTTCTGCAGTAGAGGAGCAGGAGGTGGCTGGTGGCAGAACCAAGCTAGCAGCTCTTCTGCCCCTCCACCAGGCGCTTGCGTTCTTCTATGATCTGCTGCACAGCTTCATGGTCGTCCAGGGTCGTTAGGTCCCCAAGCTCACTGGCCTTGTCCTCCACAATTTTCCTTAGGACCCGACGAATAATCTTCCCCGAGCGTGTCTTGGGCAGCCTCTGTGTGACCTGTGACAGGAAGGAGCAGAGCTAAGGCTGAAGGAAAGGGGTTGTCCAAGCTGCCAGGGTGGGTGTTGAACTGGCCTGCACATGTTACCTGAACATACTCTGGAGCTGCATACTTAGCGATCTTCTTTGAGATCAGCTCCCGTAGCTCAGCAGTAAGAGTCTCCTGCGTGTAGCCACTGTCCTTCTTCAGCACAACAAACACATAGGCTCCTGCCAGGAGGACCAGAGGGTTACTGAGCACCCTGCACAGTGTGCTCCTGAGAGCCTGCCTGGACCTAGTGCTGGGAGAGGTCCCTCTCTGCTGGTAGCCCCAGGGGATGCTCTATAGCCTGAGCTGTAAGTGCTTTTGGCCATGGTGCTGCTGGTGCCTAATGCAATGTCCAGCTGGTCTCACGTGTGGGTTGTGATGGTTGTGCTGAGATACCCACTAACATGTTGGCAGAGTGTTGCTACCAGGGGCTGGTGTGATAATGCCACTTCCCACTGCAGCACAAGAGCCCCAGGAGAGACATTTCAGGGACAGGAAAGCAGGCATCTTACCTTCTCCCTTGATCTCATGTGGGTAGCCGATGACAGCAGACTCTGCCACTGCTACGTGGTGATTCTGGAAGAGAAGAGGGCTGGGGTTTGGCTCGGTGCTTTTGGCAGGCTGGCTGCCACCTGGGAGCTGCCCTGGCCTGGCTTGGCTGCTACAGTCCATGGTAATGTGGAGAGGTAAGGAAGGGCCTCATGTGGCCTCTGCCCTTTTTCCCTCTTCCCTCAGCAGGTCTGTCTGCAAACCCAAGTCTTCCCCCTGGCTGCTATAGGCTTGCACCTTCTAGACCCTTTTGTGTGCCTCCAGGTTGCTCCACCAGGTCCCACAGTCTTTACTGGCCCATGGATGCCCCTCAGCATGCCTGGCTGCTGCTTTAGGATTCACCCACTTACAAGCATGACTCTTATCAGGCTTTGCTGCAGGGAGTGAGAAGGGAGAGGAGAGGGTGGAAAGCTGTTCCCACAGGCAGGCTGTGGGTCCAACACTGTTCCTGCTGCTACAGCAGCAGCACGGTTTAGAGTATTGCAAAGAGGCTTCCCTGAGCACCACTAGTGTGCCTTTCCTGCCACCTCAGGTGGCTTTACCTCCCACTTCCACCTCTTACCACAACATCCTCCACTTCTGCAGTGCCCAGCCGGTGCCCGCTGATGTTAATGATGTCATCTAGCCGTCCTGTCAGCTGGTAGTAGCCCTCAGTGGTGCGATACACACCATCCCCAGTGAAGAAGAACCCTGCAGTGGCCAGAACCATGTCGAGGTCACTTGTTACAATAAGTGTGTGAGCTGCTCACCAGCTGCGCTCCTGCCCCCTTCTTTTCTCTCTTGTCCCAGGGCTTGTGTACTCTGCTCCTTCCTCAACTGCTCAGCATGAAGGTTCCTACCTTCCTTGTTAGTCTTCTGCTTCTGCTGGTACCTGCTCCATCATCAAGCTCCTTCCCTCATTCTGCAGTGTGCTGGCTAATGGCCAGCCTGCCTCATTGCCACAAGCCTAGAGCACTGCTCCAGCGCAGGTGCCTGTGGTCCTGCTGCTCCTCCCCTTTGCTTCACGTCAAGACACACACACTTGGGCTTGCTTATTGCCTCTGGATGAGTGACAGAAGCTGACAGGGTTTGCAAGACATGCACTGAGAGGCCTCTCTGCTCGAGGGGACTGAAGGCAGGACAAATCCACTGCCCTAAACCTGCACGTGATGCAATGGGAAAGGTGGGTGAGAGGGACACATTCCCAGGGCAGTGCTGAGGTATTGGGCATGAGGAGATAAAGGGCCTAAACACTGTGGAGAGCCTGTGGAAGAATGAAGCAGTAGTACCAGCTCTTCTGAGTCCTGCCCCCATGCAGAAAACCCGCAGGCATATCCAACCAAACACCTCTGCAGTGACCTGCCATGCGTTTTCCTTACCTGGATAAGGAGTCAGATAGGTTTCCAGAAATCTCTTGTGGTCGTTGTAAATGGTTCGTGCCATACCTGGCCAGGCTTGTGAGATGCAAAGGGCTCCAGAAATGTTGTTTTCCAGAAGGACGTTTCCCTGTAAAATAGTTACATTTTAGTAACCATAGCTGACAGTACTAGTAACCAAAGCTGACATCACTAGCCATGTGATGGAAATGTCAGAGAAGGCAGAGAGGAGAGTCCTGTGCCCTCAACTCTTAATGGGACAGGCTCAGTCTCTCCCAGCAGATGTCTGCAACCGGCTGCCTACCATGATGGGACGCAGGGTCCCTCCAGCGAGGCTGGCTGTCCCTGCCCAGCTACCTCAGCTTAGAAAAACCTGTGCCAGGGAGCCCAAGCACAGCCTGTCTTGTCAGGACAGAGAAAGCTAGAAAACAACTCAGCTTCTGCACTAGTTGGAAGAACAGCTTCACTGTTAGTCCCTTTTCAGTACAGAAGGTTGCCATCTAGCAGAGGTGAGCAGGAAAGACACGCTTACAGATCTCCACTCCTGTCAGCAGGTACAGGCTGCAAGCACCTGGGGGAAAGTGGGCTGAGCCAGTGCCTGGGCTGCAGGTTTTAAATGTACCTTGTCATCCATGAGGGAGGGGCTGATCCCAAAAAAGGGTCTCATAGCCATGCCTGGAAGGATTTCAGCTCCAGGATTAGAAGGACGGGGCGAGATACAGATGCCTCCTGTTTCTGAAGCAAAAGAAACTGTAATGCTCATCAAAGTCAGGGACAGGCAGAAAGCCAGGCAGCACTGCTTGGCCAGTAGCCTTTGCCCTGGCCCTCACTGTGCCCTGATGGACCACAAGCTGGGGCTGGGTTTGCCAGAGCTGGGGAAGGCTCTTTGCAGAAGGATGATCCTGCTCATTTAGTTCACCAGAGATCTGCTCCCTACTGTCAACTCCCCTGTGTTTCTCTGGGTTAGCTTTAACGCCATTTCTTTCTTTAGTGTTTTGGTGTTTATCCCCTTACAGCATTGCTCACACAGAGTGTCACTAACAAGTGTTCCAGCTTGGCCAACAAAGCAGCAGGTCATTCCTAAAGCCTGGGAGGGCAGAAGCTTGAACAAGGGTTTGTACAAATCTCACCAGTTTGCCACCACGTGTCCACAACTGGGCACCGTGTCTCACCAACCACACGGAAGTACCACTCCCATGCCTCCTTGTTGATGGGTTCCCCCACTGCAAGCAGAAAGATCAGGTCAAAGAGACAGTTTCCCAGGGCCCGGTTGCGAGCCACCCCCAAATGGCACAGTCTCCCCCTTTTCCACTCGTTGCTTCTCTTGGCATTCATAGGAGAAGGCACAACTGGATGCCCAAGGGTTTGCATCCAGCAAAGCTCACACCACCAGCAGTTACCTGAGCCAAGCACTTTGAGAGAAGAGCGGTCATATTTCTTCACCCATTCATCACCGTATCTCAGGAGCAGGCGGATGGCAGTGGGTGCTCCATAGAACTGGTTAATTTTTAACCTCTCCACTGTTTCCCAGTAGCGGCCTGGAATGGAAATAGGGCCAGTAACTATCCACACAGGTCCTCCCAGCCCGAGACCTAGAGGGAGAGGAGGTGAGAGCAAGAGCTCTCTAGCAATGTGTGGACCCTCAGCCAAGTTAACCCCACTCTGAGAAGGACTAAAGCAGTCCAGGAGCAGCAGCAGCCCCTTTTCCTCCACATCACTTAACTCTCTGCTGCAGGGAGGGACAGGGAGACACAGCTTTACCCCTGGAGAAGCAGCAGTGGCTTCCTAACCAGAGGGAAAGACTTCCCCTTGCTGCTGGGCATGGTCTGCCATCTGCTGCAAGCATCCTGGCATCAAGCTGCCAGCTCCCTGCCTGCTAGGGGTCTCGCAGGGTGGCTGTGGCATGTCCCTGCTCCCCTGGGGCACCTTCTCACTCACCAGGATTAGGATGGACGGGAGTGCTCTCAAAAAGGACTGTGGTGCCTCCGTTGCAGAGGGGACCGTAGACCACGTAGGTGTGCCCTGTGATCCAGCCGATGTCTGCCACGCAGCCGAAGACATCCCTGTCCTGATAGTCAAACACATACTGCGCAAGAGAGGAGAGGCAGTGAGGGGTACAGCCTGGGCCTGCCCTCCCAGCAAGGGGGGCCACCGGGAGCAGTGTACCCTCTCTCAGCCCCAACGTTATTGCATCCTCCTCTCTTCCTGCTACCCCTGCAGGGACACCACCTTCCAGCAGAGAGTTTTTTAAAACATTATCAGGAAAAAGAAAAAAGAATTAAAATAAAACAATAAAATAAACAATAAAATAAAATGAAACAATAAAACAAAATAAAATAAAATAAAACAAAATAAAATAAAATCAAATCACCAGGCACTTTATGAAGGTGCAGGAGGAAAGAGACACTTTGGAAAAAAAAAAAACACACCAAAAAAAACCCAAAAAAAAAAAAAGAAGGTGCAGGAGGAAAGAGACACTTTGGAAAAAAAAAAAAACACACCAAAAAAAACCCCAAAAAAAAAAAAAACAAACCACAAAACACACAGCCAAATTCGCTTTTCCAAAGGAGAGAGTTACAGCCTTTCACCACAAAACACACAGCCAAATTTGCTTTTCCAAAGGAGAGAGTTACAGCCTTTCCTTCCTTCTGCTGTGTCTAGAGAAGGCTGATCTAAGTATCCTGTAGCATCAAAATGGGGAGAACTTTCAAGGTGAGGATGGTCCCTCCACACCTACATGAGGACATGGAAGGAGGGGCGTTGTAGGCAAGAGCCATGTGGTGGAGGACCCCACGAACCACCCCCAGGCACTGCTGGGCTCTAGAGGCACAGTAAACACTCGGGAAAACCCTGAGCTCAGCAAGAAGCCCAGCATAGGAGCACTGAGGCTGCAAGCAGGGGGACCGTGAGGTGCCTTTCTCCAGAGCTGCAGGAGTTGGCACCTCTCCACCTCAGCTGGAGGAGCACAGCCCTGTGTCTGCAGGCAGACAGAAGAAAGCAGAACAAGCTCTTCTTCCCACTGCCCCATGTCTTTCTCAGGAGACCCTTGGCTGCAAGGCTGGAATATGAGGGAACGATGCCTGCCCTGTGCAGGGCAGAACTGAGCACCATCAGACTGTTAGTAACATGTCCAGCTTCCTCAAGCACTCTCCTTCATTTCCTTTCCTTGGCACCAGGAAAGCTCCCCAGGGGCTGGTCTCCCACTAGCCCATCACTTCTTGCCTTCTGCTCTGGCATCTGCTGTTTCAGACATTTCCCCCATCTCTTCCTGCAGCTCCCTGCCTGCAGGCTGCCAGCTGGGGACTCCAGGACATTAGGCGCTCCAGGGTGCTCACAATGGAAGCTTCCCCTGCTTGCTCTGTCTCTTTTTAAAGGGAGCAGTGAATTATGGTGGCAGCAGTCTGCCCCATCCAACTGGGAGATCTGAGTGTGCCAGCCCTGTGTCACGGTTTCCAGTGCTCCTGGGTGCTAACATGGCCACGTGCTGCTCACTCCCTGCATTGCCATTCTGGGATGGCAGCCCTGGCTCTCACAGACCAGCTCGGATGATCTCAAGAGGGTCATGTATCAAGCTGGGCACAGTTTTACAGGCAGCTTAGATCACAGGAAAACCAAGGGTTTCCACACCTCCCCACTGCACACCCCATAAGGTCTGGCCTCCAGCATTCACAGCTGACAGAGAGGACCCAGCCAGCCCTGAGATTGCTATCTTGTAGGGTGTATGGTCTGAGGCACTGCTGGAACTTCAGTCATACACAGGGAGCTACAGACCCAAAGATAAGGGGCTGTTTGGAGAGGAACTCCCTCTTCAAGAGGACTACATATAATGTCTTAGGAAATGTCCCTTGCAAAAAAATTCCTGCAGCCAAGTGCTTTTCCATGCTGTGCTCAGTGCCCTTTTGTCCAGCTCTGTTAGAATTTGCTTTGGGCATGCTAGGGGTTAAAGGCTTTCTTCTTCCCAAAGATGACCCACACTCTTCAGATGTAGACCCTTTGTCTTGAAGACACCCACCAGCTTTTACAGATATCCTCAAATGGGGTCATCCCAGAAGTACTACCTTCCATCTCCTACCTGAGTGGGTGTAGTTATACTTGGGGAAAGGAAGCCAAAGGTTTTATTCTTTCTTCTCACCCAGTAATATAAAAATTACCCTTAAAAGCTGAAAAAGCCAAGGAGGTAGCTCAGAGGAGTATGTGTTTAGGAGGCCCTGCTCTGGAGATGTACGGCTCTTCCCTGCCACCTATTTGCAGGTGTGCTCCTCTGGGCTGATGCTAAAGGAGGGCTTTCCAGAGACCTTGCTCTGGATAAAGATGTGCTCATGGTGCAACAAGGCAGCACATTTATTCCCTTCACTGGCTATGAACTGCTGGGTCATGGGTGGTCTGTGGGTGGGATCTATTACCTTGTGCGTGAGAGCAGCAAACAGCAAGTAACCAGCTTGGGAATGAACCAGACCCTTGGGTTTGCCGGTACTGCCTGATGTGTAGAGGAGGAACAACATGTCTTCACTGTCCATGGCAGCAGGCTCACAGCACACATCCTCCTTCACCATCTCCTGTGGGAGAGAGCACAGCAGTTGACTCCGGGTCTCACAGGCTTCCCTGTGTTGTCCTTACACTGCCTGTACACCTCTCCCTCATGCCCCTGCACCCCCATATCATCCTCTGCACCTCCGCTCCCCTCGCTCACCAGCCTGGTCCCCCTCTCACCTTGCCGAGCTGGCAAACCTTCTCCTCAGCCAGAGCAGACCTGCTGAGTAAGAGGCAGCTATTTTTATGCTGCTGCTGCTCTGACCAGCACAGAAGTCTTCCAGGAAGCCTTTCTAGCACTAATTGGTTGCAGATGGGATGAGAAGAGGTGAGGAGATCTCTGTGCAGCTCCAAGGAGCTCACAGAAACGCACGGCAAGCGCTCACCTCTTCAGAAAGAGTGCTCCATGCTGGCAGCCTGGCCACCCTGCGTGCCACGAATAACAGGCACACGAGCAACCTCACTGCCTGCTTCCTCGGATGCTGGATGCCAGCAGCGCTCACAGAGAATGCCAGGCCTGCCAGCAGAGCGGTGTGTGACAGTGCAGTGGCAGTCCAAGCCTGCACTCACAGCCTGTCAGCCTGTGTCTGGGGGTGTTCCTAGCCCCTAGTCTGCTCTGCTGAGTCCTGGTTTGCACTGCCAGCTCCTGAGAGTAAAGGGCTGGTGCTGTGGGCAGAGCCACCACTTACCCCTCCTGGTGGCTCCTGGTACTCTCCTAAACTTGTGTGCAGCTCCAGCTGCCACTGCTGCTGCAGAACAACGTCCCCACATCGTGTCAATGCCAGCAAAACTGTCATGGCCAGCCAGGACCCTCTCCCCCCCCTCCATCCCTGCTCCCAGAGTGGACACATTGCCCAGGGGAAATGGCAGTAGTGCCAGGCAGTCTCACCTCCTCCAGCGGCACGTCCAGGGCTGTCATGGGAACCTTGCTGTCAGTCCTCATGGAAACCAGAACACGTTTCACTCCTGGGCACTGCTTCACAGCCTGGTCCACTGTCTTCTTTAGCTCAATAACCTTGCCACCTCTCAGCCCCTGGTTCACGGTGATCACTGTCTCCGACTGGGCTGCAGAAGACAGAAGAGACACATCAGCAGCTCTGTTCCCCTCCATCAGGCACACAGCAGTCTGGCTCTACCATGACCATGCACCTCTCCCTCTGTCTCCTACTGAGTCCACCATTTAACAAAACCAGCAGCTTCACATCTTTGTTTCATTCCTGCCTGCTGGCATGCCCTCAGAAGAGATGCTGTACCCCAGCCCTTGAGGGAAAAGGAGACAACTGGTCCATTCCATGGGCTGAAAGACCTTTAGGGAGCCCATGCCATTTCCTGGGGTGCTAATCCCCCCTCCATGGCCATACATCATGGCATGACACGCTCCAATTAGCCCAGGGAGCCTGACTCAGAAAAGCTTTGCCATCAGCACAATCCTTGAGCCCCCCAGCTGCCAAACCAACAAGCTCGGCACTGTGCCCAAAGGGAAACACTGAGCACGTCCCTGTCACCCACTGGCTCTTACCGTCTCGGATCCTATCTGCCAAGGACTCTGCACTGAACCCGGCGAACACCACAGCGTGCACAGCCCCGATGCGGGCACAGGCCAGCATGCTAGCCACTGCCAGCGGGCACGGGGGCATGTAGATTGTCACCCTGTCACCCCGTTTCACCCCTTGCCGTTTCAAGGTGTTTCCCAGGCGGCACGTCAGCTCCAGCAGTTCCCTGCCCAAAGAAGCAATGGCACAGTCAGAGACTTTCTTGCAGGTCTTATCTGCGTGCATAGAGATGGGGGGGCTCAGAGTCACAGGGGTGCAGCTTACATCCCTATGCACCCTAAGCCCCCACGCTGGAAGTCCATGGGAGAGCTGTAAAATGTCTGTGGGAAGGGAAGGAGCAGACAGTCACTAACATGGCCTGTTATTTATCGAAAAGAAATAAACCAGAACGGCCTCTGTACAGAGCCTGACACTCTCACTGGCCAGTATGAGGAGCAAGCCATAGGGCCAGCAATGGTCACTGGCAGTTCCTGTGGCTCAGCAAGCCCGCATCACCTCAGCTGACTTTCCAATGACAACCTGCACATTTCTCCTGAGCTGTACCCTGCAGTTCTGGAGGCTGTGCGAGAAAGGTTAGATATCTTCCCCCATGAAAATAGGGCTTCATGCTTTGCTTAAGCTGGGAAGGTCAAGTCCTCCAGAACTTGTGCCCACCAATGAGAGCAACAGCTGTAGGAAAGCGGTGGAGCAAAATGGTGCCTCTCCTGAGAGCTGCCCCTCCCAAAAACCACAGCTTGGCTGCCAGTGACTCATTTCACAGAAGGGCTCTCCATGCAGGGAGGTTGGCAGGGGTGAATGGTCATGTTTGTTGCACGAGGTCTGGAGCCAGAGAGGACTGAGGGACTCATTCTGTATGCAGAGGGATTCAAGTGGATTCTGCAGTGGAGACCAATATAGCAGACAAATTGAGCTAGAAGGTGGGGGGCCCCAGACCAACCTAGCTGGGCTGGACAGGTGGTCCCCCCAGAGAGCCAAACCCAGCAGTGTTGATGATGTGCAGATGAGCATGGGACTTCCCAACACCCGTGCAGCTCTGAATATGGCCTCTCTTGCAGATGGTTTAGTTGTAAGTACTGACCTGTACGTGACCCGCACCTCCTCTCCTGGTTCATCCTTCTCCCAGATTAAAGCCACTTTGTCTGCAGCTGCATGGACGTGTCGGTCCAGGCAGTTCACTGGAAAAAACGACCCAGTCTCATTGCCAGAGCAACCCTCAATGCCTCCTGTCTCCCATAAAGGCATCACCGGCAGCCCTGTTTCCAGGGAGTCAGGGCTGTGTGTGAGTCTTCTAGGCATTAGCCTTGTGCATCCACTGAAACAACCTTTGTAGATACCAGCCAGCAGACCACAAGCACCTTCCCAAGCCCATTCCACTCCTCACCACTCCAATACCTACCAATCCCCACTATCACCTTCCCCCTTAATTGCAACCTAACAAAGTCCAGAGCAGACACTGCCTGAAGTTCCTTTTGGAGGTCACATCCCCAATACCCTCTGTGGGCCTGGCAAACATTAACTCAGCCATCACTCCACCCAGCACTGCCTTGCAGCTGCCTCTGGGGTGGAGTAGGGCAGTTTTTTGGAGGCGGTGGTCATAAATAACAAATGTAGGACAAAACAAAGCTCTGCGCAGGAAGGCCGCAGGGTGCATTTGTCCAAGATGGAAGAGAGCCAGGGCCAGGAGTGCACAGCCCCTGGCTTTCCAGGGACATGGTAGGCTGAGGCTTTGGCTGTAATTCTTCCGAGAAAAGTTTTCCATGTTGCTGGCAGCTGCAGTTTCCTCAGAAGCCTTGTTCCACTCTGTGTTTTCCTTAAACCTGCTTCTGAAATTATGGGATGATGCAGCAGCCCCACTCTGCATACCAGAATGCCTTTTTCTCCTGACCATTTCTAGTTTTCCAGGAGAAAAAGAAGCAAACACAGAAGGGGGAAGAATAAAATCTCAGATCCCAAAGGCAAATAATTCCCATTCTTCTGCTCAAGTGGACTACATGAGACTGAGATTCCTGAGTCTCATAATTTGGACACTGGAACCAACAGCACAGTGAGTACGACACGGTATCACCAGCCCCTGTGTCATCCCCTGGTAGCCCCCTTAAGGCAGTAGCCCCAGCCCACAGAAGAGCCTTCCACGGCTCTAGGGACTTCCAGTACCACTCATTGTTCCCATATTCTGCTTTCCATAGATACTCACTGCCTTTGCTGGGCAGGGGTGACCTGGTGCAACACTGCCTGCTGAACGCACAGGGTTCAGTGCTGTTGCCCGTGGTCCTGCAGAACAGAGCCACTGTGGGATCCACAGAGGCTGAGCCGGAGCAGCCCAGATCCCAGTGCATCCCGATCCAGCTGCAGCCCTTCCAGCAAGACCCGGTTTCTCCCTTAGGACCGGCCACATCCTTACACTACAGCCACTGCAGCGCAAACCAGAACTTTCAGGGAACTCCCTCACTCCAACCCTTTAACTCTGTGCTCCTCCAATCTGCTCCCAGGGCTGAAGCCCTTCACAAAGAGGCACGTGGTGGGCTCCCATGTCCTCTGACTCTCTCCTTTCCTTACCTGCCACATTCAGCTTCCCTCCCAGGAACCAGGAGACCCTGCCCTGGCGCAGGTCGCAGTCCTGGACAGAGTGGAAGGGGGTGATCCAGGTGAGCCGGCTCCTCCCTAATGCTCCCCAGAAGGCATCTCCCTGCTCCACCGACACCTTGTACAAGCCCTGGTGGTCGTTGGGTCCAGGGAAGGCGATGGCTTCAGGCATGTAGGCAGTGAGGGGCCCGTTGCTCCAGGGTCGGGCAGCCACTGACCCAGGGGAGCATCTGGCAGCCTGAGGAAGAGCTTTAAGGCAGCAAGCCCTGGCCAGCAACCTGGCCATCATCTCGAGGTGCCTGCCTCTCACCAAGGAGATGGGTGCCTGGAGCTTGTGTGGCCGCTTGGGACACCCAGCCCAGGCAAGATGCGCCCCTATGGAAGCTGAGGCTGTGCCACCCTGGGCAGATCGGGCACAAAGCTCCCCTGCACAGGGAGCCAGGGTGCCCCTTCTCCCCAACTTCGATCCTCTCCTCCTCTCTCCCAGAGCACTCCAGGGAAAAGAAATTCAATCCCTTTAGGGGAGGGGAAAGGGGTGGGCTGTAGAAATATTTGACTGAAAATAACCTTCATGCTAATCTGGGTCCTGACAGCTGCTCTTGAACAGGAGCCAGGTTCAGCGGGTGCCTGGGATCCCTGCGGGGAGAAGGTGCCCAAGCCAGGCTCTACCAGCCTAACCCTGCTCCCACTCACCCAGGGCTGTGCTGTGTCCCTGGACTTCTCTGCTTCACCCCTGCTTTCCTCCCTCCACTCATCTCCATCCCCTCTCTCCCCACAGCTCCCACTGCAGCCTCCAAGTCCTCTGCCACTCACAAGGGCAGCCTGGAGTGGCTCACCTGTGAAAGTTAGGGTCCCCCCTTGTGCTAGCCTTGGGTGATGGGATCATTCCTTTCCCAGAATTAAAGCCTATTCCCTGCAAGACAGTAGACTGTGATGTCCCTGGTGGGCCAATGAAAACTTTTCCCCTGCAGCTGTCAGCTGTGAGTGGGATATCTCATCTGATGCCACCTCACTGCTGGGCAGCTATCAGAGCTGTCCCCTCCAGCAAGCTGGGCTGGGCTCTCTGCCTCTTCCCAAACACTTCAGACCACTCTGTACCACAGAGTGGACTGGGAGCATTAAATGAGGCCATGGTGGAGCAGAAGGTGATGGCTTGCAATGAAACACTGCAGCCTGTCTCCCCACTCTGAGATCTCCCACTACCCACTGTAGCAGAGCTAAGCTGACTCTCCCTCCAAACAGTGTTTTCTGCCTTCCTTTTCTTCAGGCCCTACATAGATACTGACCTGGTTCTCCTCCCTTCCCAGAGAGCACAAGATAAGAGCACAATAAGGCTTCCTCTGCAAGCAGGACTGTTCTCAGCCAGGCACACCAATGGGATCAACAGGAGGAGGAAAGAGTTGGTAGATCTCCTCGTTGTTCTTCACAGTGTGACACCACTCATGGTCTGCAGGTGTGGCACGTTTGGTGAGCAGGCTGGACCAGTATAGGAGACAGGCACTATTTGACAGCAGGTGCACTCATCCCAGAGCACACACCTGGTTTGTATCAGAGCTGCCCCCACAGCTACATGAGGACCTACAAGGGTTCTGTCCCCCAGGGAAAATACAGTCCTGTGGGCTTACAGCCACTCCACAAAGCCAAGGCCAAGCAGCCTCATCGTTCCACAAGCAAAGTCTCTTATTTCCTATGTGTGTCTGTTCTGCCTCAGCTTTTTTCCCCTTTAAGATACCAGGTTTTACCCAGATGCCCTTAGCAGGGCAGGCAAATCTCAGTTCCTTCTCTGATGACTCAGTATGGGCTCCTGCTGCCCTCAAATCAGAGCTTACCTTGCTGGAAATCCCTCTCGATGCCCTTTCTTCTCGACAAGTTTCCTTGCACTTGCAGCATCCGGCTGCTGCCTCCGCTCCTCAGGCCGGCTGGGCCCTGCATCCTGCTCCCGGCAGAGGCTGAGCCGGCTCTCTAACACCAGGGCATCTGTGACACAGGGTGACCCAAAGCACCAGGGCTGTCCTGGACGCTGAAGTGACTTGTTCTCTGACTAGTTGTGCCATGACGCCTAACTTCTGCCCCAGGTACAAGCACACCCCTTTCAGCTTTGTCTTTCACTGCAAAGGGAGAGCAGCACCCAAGCCCCATCTTCTCCATGCCTGGGTGGGGAGGAAGGTGTAGACCTCCCTCTGAGCTGCATTGGAGCTCCCATCTCTCTCTGGCTATGGCCTGATGTCCAACCCCCTCTCAGCGTTGGCTGAATTCACCCTCCTTGAACATCAGTGACCAGACTCATACACAGTATTCCCGTTTAGTTTTATTCTTGTTCATATCTTTACAGAAAATGGCACATAAATCACAGATGCTGGATGACTAGAAGTTGTTACAGCTCCATATCTCAAACACCTCAATACTGAATTCTTTTCTCACTGTATATACATTATTTACACACCATGGGCTATCATCTAACACGTCAAAAGACCAGGGGACAAAGACAAACAGGGGCTGGATGAAGGGACTGAACCTTTGACGGAAGAAAATACAGTAGCTCTGGGGAAAGGGTGCTCACAGCTGAAAGCAGGACAGAAAGGGTCGCCTGGAAGTCACTGTCCTACGGCTTTCGGGGAGGGGAATAGCGCCTTATCGGGATGGGAAGGTGATGGTACCACGGAGCAGGTTTGGCTGCGTGGGTCTGTGTGTGCTCGTGTGGGGCTGGCTGGGAGACGTATGTACACGTTATGGGGTGTATCCGGGTGGATGTGCATGGCTGTCATTCCCTTTAACACTCAGAGGGCAAGCTGGACAGATTTAATTCAGTAAATACATTGGGCAGATATTGTTGTCTCCCCTGGAATAATGTATTCAGTAAACAAATTCACTGTTCGGACCCTCTGCAGGGTGCAGGGCTTTGGCGTTTGGGGCAGTTAGACCCAGCTGTGGTGGCCAGCCCTAAGGGAGCCAGCAACGGGGGCTGGGGCCACCTCAAGGTGCCAGATGGGACCAGGGTGTCGCGTCTGTGGGCTAAACCTGCCTCTTCCTGTCCAATGGAGACAAAACTCAACCCCTATAAAGCTGTAGCCCCTTCCCAGCAGACCCCAGCACTGGGCAGGGAGAGATGGGTGGAAGGTGCAAAACCACCCTGGACGGAGAGTTGCCATTTCATGCAAACACTGCCATGACCTTGTCCCACTGCAGCCTGGGCCAGGGGCAGAGGTGATGGCCAGGGGAAGGTGGTGGATCTGCCTGGGACATGGTGGAATGGGGTGCTGGTGGAATGGGGTGCCAGTGGAAGGGGCCTGGGCAGCACTGAGGAGAGACCTGCACCAAGGAGGGGCATGGCGGCAGGGGACAGGCTCGCTCCGAGATGGCGGATGGGGGCTGGAGCAGGAGGAGAGTGCCCCAGAGCTGGTCACAAGGCTGGAAGGACCCAGAGCCTCAGTGTCCTTTTGGGTGGTGACGATGATGGGACATTTCCCGGTCCCCCAAAAGGAATGGGTTTGGGGCGGGTGAGGAAAGCCCGGCGGGGTGGAGGAGTGAGGGGCAGGGGTATGCTCGAGGGGGGCAGGTGGAGGGCACCCCTGCCAGGCAACCCCAAAAACGGAGACCAGGGCCCCCACTCCCTGGGCAGGGGCGGCCAGGGGGGTCTGGCAGTCTGAGGGGCAACACAGCCCCAGGAGGACACAGTGTCTGTTGGGTCTGGCTTCCACCGCCTTTCTCCCCGCCTAGATCAGCTTCTCCTCCTTCTGCGATGAGTTGAGCTTCTCCGTCTGTCTCTCATCCTCTGCCGCCTCCTCCCCTGTCTCCGGCTTCCTGCCCGGGGCTGGGGTGTCCCCGGTGATGGTCCCCAGGACTTTGGTGCTGTGCTCCTGAGCTTTGGCCCTGAGGGCGGCAATGCTGTTTTCTCTCAGTTCCTCCTGGGAAATGGCGGTTTTGGGATCCGGGCCCCTCTCTTCCTTGTCACCCTTGTCAAGCTTGGGCAGGGCCTGGCGCTCCACTTCCGTCTTCCTCCCCGCCTCAGCCGCTGCCTCCAGAGACTTTTTGTGCATCCCTAAAAAGAATTGTTGGTATTCGGGTTTAGAAAAGCGCCTGGGCATGGGAAAGCCATCTTGAACTGAAAACAGCAAAGATAAAGAGAGGCCAGAATTAAGGAAAAGCAGAAACCCTCACCCCACGCAGCAGTCACGGCCAGCCGCTCGCCCTGGCCCCCGTGCAAGGGCAGCCCCAAGGCAAGGCAGCTCCGTGGCCTCGGGGCTGCCCACAAAGGCCTGTAACTACTCTCCCCTTCATTCCTCTCTGTGAACCTAAAGCTAGCTGGTCCCCGCACGGGGACAAAGGTCCCAATTGCCTGAGCTTCACCAAGGCTGGGGAGGGAGATGCCCCATTGCTTATTCTTGTATCAACCCACTCCTCACACTGCCCACCCCTCTGCCTCTCTCAGTTGCACACAGATAGAAAGACAGGACAGCCTGTCGTCAAGATGCCAGACACTAGTTTTGGGGCAGAACCAGCCTGAAAGGTCAGAAAGCAGAAAGCAAAGAGCAGGAGTGTTGTAAGGTAGCTGCTACCTCCGTGTCTGCACAGAAAACCAAGCAAGACCAGGCAGAAATACACCTCCCCCAGGTGTCGAGAGCAGGAGAAGGCAGCAGCATGTTCCCCCTGGGACTTGGGGTGAGGAGAGTGCATTTGTGGGTCCTGACACCCCACAAAGCATCACGGGGCTGGCAGAGTCAGAGTGGGATGATCTGCTTTGGGCAGGGGTTGGAGCTGGGCACAAGGGATGCTCATGCCACGGGAGTCAAAGACTAACATCAGCCTGAGCATGGGGAAAAAATTCCTGCCCCAGGTAGATCCTGCAGGTCAGGGTCCAAGGACCAGCATGGATTTGGGATGAGTGGTCAGATCTTACTGATAAGGGCCATTGAGGATGGCGGGGTGGAGGGCAGCAGGGTGGGGGTGACCTTGCCCCGCTGACTTCCACCCATGTTTTCAATACAGCTCCATTTTTTTTCTCACATTCCCCCCACTTTATCTCGACCCACTTGCCATCCCCCCTGAAAGTGGCTGCTCTCTTACCCAGGAGCCAAGGGGCGCAGGACTCCATGATGCCATCCTTGGCAGACTTGAGGATGGACTCGGGCAGGGGGATGGAGTGACGCACCATGGCCCCGTAGAGCCCGTACTCGGCCATCACGCTGCTCCTGCCCCAGCACTTCTCCCTCTTCCGCCACTTGGCCCGACGGTTCTGGAACCAAACCTGGGAGGGTGGGGAGGGTGACAAGAAAGAATATGGGTTGTTTTGGAGGGCGGAGATGGTGTGTCAGTCCCCTTCCCGCATGGGAACACACGTATGTTTGTGCAGCAGGATGAAGGCAGACATGTGGATGCTCATCCCAAAAGCACTGTGATCTCCTTCCTCTTCCCCCATGGACCAGCCGCTGGGCATCTCTCCCTCCCTCCCTCCCTTGTAGAAGAGGC